CCCAGTGGGAGATGTGCAGGAGGCGGCTGATCGATGTTTCTCTCTCATCGATGTTTCTAACTCTCTATCTCTCTCCCTTCCTCTCTGTAAAAAATCAATAAAATATATTAAAAAAAAAAAAAAAAAAAAAAAAAAAAAAAAAAGAATTGCTATTCCATGCCCAATGCACTATTCTAGCACCTAGCACAATGCCTCACACATAGTAATTGCTCATTAAAAGTGTGTTGCATGACTGAGTGATGGAGTGAGAAGGGCTGAACCAAAAGAAAGCAGCAGAAAAAGTCTGGGCATTGACCCATGTTGTTCCCCTTCCCCCACCTTATCCCGAATCAGCTGGTGTCCCCAAGCCACCTCTACCGACTCAGCCCCACCCAGGACCTCATTACTGGTATGTCTAATGCAGTAGTCACATGTGGCTATTGAGCACTTGTCATGTGACTAGTCCAAAATGAGGTGTGCTCTAAATGTGGAAGAGATACCTGTTCAATATATCAATAGATATATTGATAACCTATTGAAATGATAATATTGTGGACATATTGGGTTAAGTAAAATGTGCTATTAAACTAACTTCACCTGTCTCTTTTTAGTTTTGTAGTGTGTTACTAGAACATTTAAAATGACATGTATGACTCTCATTTGTGCCCAGTGTTGTTTCTGTTGGACAGCATCTAGAAGAGGCTAAAGACTGCAAACCCCAGAGGACTCAGGGGAAAACTCTGGATGTTTGGTGACGGTGACCCTAAGGCTCTTTCCCAGTGCCCTCAGGCCCAGCACACAGCACATGGAGCCTACCTCAGTTTCCCTATCTGGCCTTCCAGTTCATTGTGGCCCCAGTATCCTGCATCCCACAACCTCAACCTGAATCAAAAGAGCACCTGGTAGGGCCACCCCCACCAACTCAGAAGTGCCTTAGGCACACATCTACTAATAACCAACTCAACCTTCACCCAACCAACCATTTTACCTGGTACATTTCTCTCTCTCTCTCTCTCTCTCTCTCTCTCTCTCTCTCTCTCTCTCTCTCCTTATACTTCTCTAGATCCCTTCTGCACACCTGTTGTCCAGGCCTCGCTCATTCATTCATTCATTTGGCAAATATTTATTGAGTACCTATGTGCCAGACACTCTTCTTGGTGCTTGATATGCATCAATGAATGAAGCAGACAGACCCCTCTGCTCTTGTGAGCTGGCATCCAAGTGGGGAAGATAGAAAATAAACAACATACACTATCAGTGGTTCTCAACCTTCTGGCCCTTTAAATACAGTTCCTCATGTTGTGACCCCCAACCATAAAATTATTTTTGTTGCTACTTCATAACTGTAATGTTGCTACTGTTATGAATCATAATGTAAATATCTGATATGCAGGATGGTCTCAGGCGACCCCTGTGAAAGGGTCGTTCGACCGCCAAAGGGGTCTCGACCCACAGATTGAGAACCGCTGCACTATAAATAAGGAAATGGTATGTGTTAGTAAGATAGATGCTAATTAAAAACAAAATGGAGCCAGATAAGAAGGATAAGCCCCCACACTAGTCCACCTGCCTTCATTCTCTCCCCTTTCATTCACCCTCCTTGGGGGGCTTGAGGGATCTTGGGTCCAACCATGCTACCGCCCTGCCTGGATGCCTCTTGGGCTCCCCAGTGCCTCCAGGTGAAGGTCCAAGCTCCTTAGACTGGCATGCAAAGCCCCGCATGATCTGGCCCTGCCGACTTCATCCTCCAGCCAGCCGCTCCCTGTACTGCTCTCTAGCGCCCCCTGCCGCCCCCTCTGCCATGAACACCCTTCCTGGATTCCTGTTCCTTCGCTCGTTGTCATCCCTAGAGGCTCCGCTCACTGTCAGGGCTTACGCAGGTCATGCATGGATCCCTGTATCCTAGGCCTGAGCGTGTGCTTCAGCCCCACGCCCGCTGCTGCCCCAGCTCACGCACATGTGCACGGACTCTATATGAGTAGGCATGCCACGTTCCCATGCGCCCGTCCCCTCGCAGAGGCCCAGCCAGGCGCAGGGGCTGCCCAGGTTGTCTCGACTTCCCAAAGCCTCAGCGGGAGCAGGCGCTGCAATTCAGGAAGTCGCCATGGCAACCGCTGGGCCTTCCTGACATCTCCTGTAATCATCGCTGGGACCTGGCCACCCCGCTGGGCTTCCTGGAGATTTGTTCCCTATGATGGGAGGCTTGGGGGTTGGGGGGTCCTAACCTCCAACCCTCCTCTCTTCTCCTGTACCCCCCTTCCCCACCCTCAGGATGGCACCATTGCCAGGTTGGGACAGTGTAATGTTGGGGAGGGGGCTCCCCTGGAAGTAGAGACGGAGTTCTGGTCTCAAATAAGCCGTAACCAAAATTAAAGGTCTAAAACAACCCCTCATCTTTACAGGGTTTCAAGGTGTCTGTTTAACAGAAGAGGAGCTTGAGATCAGAGAGGTGGAGAGAAGGGCCAAAGTCACCTACCCCAGCTGGATGGGCCAGGCCAGGAACACAGGGGAGCCCCAGGAAAATGGCTGTCTGGGAAGGATGGGGCTCAGGAGCAGCCTTTCTCTACCAGCACAGCCGAGCCTGCCTCCCTTCCATTTCCAGCCAAGAGTCTGTTCTAGAGCCGAGGAGTTAAGGGAACCTCTCAGACCCCAGGGCCCTCCGCAGTGCTAAGAGCCTGGGACTGGGAGGCTAGAGGCCTGGGTTCCAGTCCTGACTGGCTCTGTGACCTCGGGGGAGGGAGTTTTTGCCATCTCTCGGCCTCACTTAACTGTGTTCTAGATTAGAAGATGAACCAGATGACCCTCAAGGGCATGTCCCAATCCTACAGGCTGTGTTTTCTGTTCGATAGCAAGACAAGCTCAGGGGACATTGCAACCCTGGGCAACAGTGAGCTGTGATCTTGGGAAATGCCAGACACAGACCTCTCCCATTGACTGATGGGCCATGCTTCACACACACTCTTACAGAGTCAGGAAACAGAACAGTGTCTGTTCTCCCTGTGCCCCCCGAGCTTTGAGTTTCTTAATTAGGATATTGCAGTGTCTATTTCTTCATCTCAGTCCAGTTCCTGCCAGAAAAGTCACTGAAGTGAGGAAAAGGGCACCATGTTCTTGCCACATGCCTCATGCCCCGTTTATGCCCAGGGATGGCCCCATTTAATTCCCACTCTGCCAAGTAGGTCTTACTGTTTGCATTTCATGAGTGAGGACACAAAGGCTCAGAGAGGTGGTGTAACTTGCTCAAGGTCACACAGTCAGTAAATGGTAGAACTGGAATTTGAACCCAGAGCCTATCTGATTCCAGAGCCAAGGAGAAAGACCATTCCCGATTTCTGCTTTCTGCAGTTGCCTCGTCCCACCCGCAATGACAGCTCTGCACCCTGGAACTCCTCTTTCTTGGGTCCTAGGTGCTGCCCATGACACTTCCTCCTCCTCATCCAGGCAGGAAAGTTCTTAGACTCAGAATTCCAGAGCATCAGAATGAAAGAGCCCTTTGAGTTGATCCAGACCAGCCCTACCTGATTGGTTCTGCCTCTGCACAGATGGGGAAACTGAGGCCCTGTGTGGAAGAGCCAGAGCTAAAGCCAGAATGAAAGGTGCAGCCATGGAGCATGGTGAAAGGGAGTTCCACGGAACAGGACTTGAGGGGCTATAGGCCTTCACCAAGAGGGGCGCCAACGGGGCTCTGGTGATGGCTCCTAGGGCAGACAGGTCTGCTGGTCAGGGCTTGAAGGGTTTGGATTTGGACCGGCAGAGAGGAGACACGAGGGTGGGGGATGGCCGGCCTGGCTGAGCTGAGGGGTCAGGCGGCCTTGGCTGGTCTCCCATCTCCAGCCCCAGGACAAGCGCGTGAGGTGGAGCTGAAACATTCAAGCAGCTTCCTCTCCTTTGTTGGGAGTGATGTCGCCTATTTCCTGGATGTCCAAGAACAGGCTTCAAACAATAGCGCTGTCAGGAAGCCAGGAAGGGGCTGCTGCCCTGGGCCTGGGCCTGCCCCATCCCTCCCCACCTCCTGAGACTTGGCCAGGCCATCCTTTTTGCTTATCTCTTGGAGTCTGATGCCTCACTCTGTCCCCAGCCGGCTGTGTTTCTGTGAGCGGGCCACCTAACTTCTCTGGGCCTCAGCTCCCCAACTAAAACTTGGGAATTTATCCTTACCTAGAGGAACTGGCACATTGATCCAAGTGGGTAATCACAATAGCAGTAGCAGCAGCAGTAATTGACACCCCAGACATAGACAATGATGTGGGAGTGCTGGGCACTGAGTAGTCATTTGGAAAATGTGAGTTTGACTGAATCATGGAAATTGTCAACTCACCTTTTTCAAGCCTACTAAGTGCCCAGCATTTCCACATGCATTATCTATATCTGGGGTGTTAAGACTGGTTAAGAGTTATAGTGCAGCCAGTATGGAGGGTCTTTAAAAAAAATTAAGAATAGAACTACCATATGATCCAGCAATTCTTCTTCTGGATATTTATCTGAAATATGTGAAAACACTAATTTGTAAAGATATATGCACACCTCTGTTCATTGCAGCACTATTTACAATAGCCAAGACATGGAAACAACCTAAGTGTCCGTCGACAGATGGATGGATAAAGAAGATGTGGTATATACACAAGGTAAAACTACTCAGCCATAAAAAAAGATGAAATACTGCCATTGCTACAACATGGATAGATCTTAATAGTGTAATGCTAAGTGAAATAAGTCAGACGGAAGAAGAACTAAAGCCATATGATATCACTCATGTGTGGAATATAAAACAAAAAAAGGAACAAGCTAACAAAACAAACTCATAAATACAGATAGCGGAACGGTGGTTCCCAGAGGGTACGGGGAAACACTGGGTAAAGGAGGTCAAATGTATGGAGACTGGTGGAAACTAGATTTTTGGTGGTGAGCATGCCATGGTGTTTACAGATATCAAATTCCAATATTGTATACTTGAAAATTATACGATGTTATTAACCAATGTTACCTCCTCAAATTTAATAAAAATTTTTAGAAAGACTTACAGTTTTGGAGTCAGAGGAAATTGGGTTTAAATCCCAGTTCTGCCATTTTCGAGCTGTGTGACCTGGGACAAAGCCATAACTTTCTGAGCTCCAGCTTCTTCTGAAACAGAGCAAAATAGGAACAACAAGAATACCTATTTTGTGGCACCATTATGAGGAATAAATGGGCTAATAAATGTCAGGCATTTAACACAGGGCCCAGCAAAGAGTAGGCCCCAAATGGTAGCTGTGCTTATTACTGTTTCCATGATGGGGCTCCCACTTTCAGACCCAGGCTCACGCTGTTCCCCCTGCAGGCAAGTCCTTCCTGTCTATTGTCCACACATCCAGCTCAGCACAACTCTTTAAATCTGATTGCAGCCCCACAGGCAGTCCAAAGTAGGAAGATGAAGTCAAAGCTCAGTCCTAGTATTGCTGCTATCCGACCCTGCCCCATGTGTGGGCCTTACTTTCCCTATATGTGAAGTAAAAGGAATTTATTGGTCCCTAAGGTCCTCCCCCTTCTGATGCCCTGTGAGGTAGTCCAGTCTCCCACGAGATTCCTGGCCCTGGGTTTGCCAACAAGTGGGAGGCCAGACGCAGCACAAGAGGGCCTCTGCATCCCCTGTTCACCCACAGGCTGGAATCCTCCCCAAAGATGAGAGCTATCCACTGAGTCAAGTTGTCTCCAGGCGTGGGGGCTGGGTGGGTACTTTTGTTGGGGAACATGGCCTTTTCATTAGCATCATTGTCGGCCAATTAGCCCAAAGCTGACTCACAGGGAACGCTGGGGTGGTGGTGGGGGGGGATGCCTTTCGGGGGCATTGTGTTCCATCAGCCTTCCTCCCCTTTCTCTAGAAAACCTGGGCTCCCCTGCCTGTCCAGCTTGTCAATCAACCGCACTGCTGGGTGCACCTGTCAGCTTGAGGGGGTCACATTTACTGTGCATCGATGTGGTGCCAGGCACTGTACGATCATCTTGTTACCAAATCAACAGAGCCACACTTGTTACCCTCATTTCTCAGAGAAGGAAACTAAACCCCAGAGAAGTGAAGTAGTCTCCAGTCCAGCAGAGGACTGAACCATCTCCTTAGTCGCCAGACAGAGCAGCCATTTGGATCCTGCTTGCCAAGTGAGTGGAGGGAGCTGTGTGGCCTGGGGCAAGCCACTTCTCTCCAGTCTCTCCTCCTACCCCCATTTCCAAGCTCTCCCGTTCACCAACTCCAAGCCAACAGCTCAGCCTGGAGTGAAGCAATGACCCCAGGTTTTGGAGGTAATCAGGCCTGTTTAAATTCTGCTTCTGTCAGAATTTACATACGCACAGTTCCTGTCTTTGAGACGCTCAAGTCAAGAAAGAGAGGTAGACCCGTGGACAAATAATCACCGTGTAATTGGATAACAAGGGAGCCATATCTAATAGACGTCTCTCATGGGAATAGAAAGTCACTCCTCTTTTTTCACTGGCTGCTCAGGACCCCATCGCATTGTCTGACTGTTGCAACTCATTCAACTGCTCTGCTACGACCAAAGGACCTTTAGGTTGGTTCCTCCTGTGTGTCCGTTTTTACAAGCAATGTGCAATGAATATCTTTGTACACATCTTAAAATACTTGAATCAGCACTTCTGCAGTATAAACTTTTACAGGTGTGGAATGGTGCAGAAAATTGGCCTCCAAACATAATGTATCCGTTTACACTCCTCCCAGCAGGGTAAGAGAATACCCATTTCCCCATATCTGGATCAATACTTGATATTATCAACCTTTTACAGTTTTCCTGAACTAATGAAATGGCATCTCGTTATGGCTTTAGTTTGCATTGTTCTACTCGCGAGGTTAAACATCTTTTCATATGTTTATTGGCCATTCTGATTTTCTCTTCCGAAAACTGCCAGTACACAGCCTTTGCGGATGTTTCCATTGAGATGCTTGTCTCCCAACCACTCCCTGACTCAGTTTACCTCACTCCAGCCTCCTTGGTTCAGCTCCCCTCTGTTATTCCCAGTGCTTGCTGTCTGATTCCATGGGGGAGGCGGGGCGGGGAGGACCTTCCCATTCCAGCACCACCCTGCGGTCTCAGCCAGCGGAACCTACAAGGGCTGAGGGATTCAGACCGGACTTGGCCCAATCAGAAGGTGGTTCAATTAGCTATGATCTCCAAAGGGTTTCTTTCCTTTGACTTTTAAGATCAAAGCCTTCATAATAATCCTCTGAACAAACTTAGGCTCAAATAACAAGAAAGTTACACGAAATGATTCCTAATGAGGGAGATGGATGACAAAATCCCTGAACCTCTTCCATGTCATGCCTTTAAATATCAGCATGGGAGACTTTTAAAAAACAACATGGGCCCAAAATGCTCTTCTCATTTTAATAAAATCTCCAAAATGAACTGCCCAAGTGATTAGATCTATCTCAAGAAGATCATCAAAACTCTACCATCTCCCCCAATGAGTTGGCCAGTAGAGAAACTGTGTTTCGTGTAACCCTTGGCATGGAAAAGAGCCTAGATACCATCTTGGCTCAATACTTGGTTTTACTGCTAAAGAAAGTGGCTCAGAGGTGAAAGTGTTTGGCCAAGGTCATATAACAAGGTCAGAGATGGAGCCAGAAACAGGAACCCATCTTTCTCCTCCAGCGGTTCCTGCTACCCATCACACTGACATGGAAGAAAGGCTGCTCAAAAATTTTCTTGCAAGTTCTTTGGTTTGAGTTCACCATTGGGAATCTCAGATCCCTGGGAATGACCCCAGCAACACAAAGGTGCTACACGTCCCACAATCTAAACAAACAAACAAACAAATAAATAAATAAATAAATAAAGCCTGTACATCAAACCACGGTCACATCACGTGACACCTTAGTTTGCAGGTGAAAGAAACATTCATATCATTTTCTTTTCAGCTCCAACTCCTCCAACAGAGGAGCAGAATTGATTAAAACGAGGCTTCCAGAAAGGGCATATCTGCCTAATTTGCATTCAATCCTCAAATTAAAGGAATACCAGCATGCAATTATATTTCCTATTACCATAGCTGAACCTGACCTTTTCTGCTCCTTCCTTCAGTTCACAGACACCATTTTTATTGAAACCGTGATGGGGATTTGGGAGGCTCTTTCGGAAAAAATGGAAACAAACATTTTAAAAACCCTGAGAGCCTGCACCCCCTGCAGATTTTAGGGGAAATCTGAGTCTCTCTTTGAATAGAAAACACCCTCGTGTTTATTCTGCACAGAGGGATACACATTTAATGCTTAACTAGGCTACTCCTTTTTGGGAAGGCCAATGGCTGGGTGACATTCACTCAACAAGTCGTGACCAAGTGCCCACTATCTCCTAGCCGCTGTTCTGTGAAGAGGTAGATGCCACGGAAAACAAAATGTGGTCCTTGCTCATAATGCATCCAACGGCCAGAATGCACAATGCTCATGAACACGGAGGAAGGTGCCATTTACCTTGCGGGGTGTTGAGGGACTTTGAGCTGCATCTTGAGAGAAGGGTTCACCAAGAAGCAGTGGGAAGACCCTTTGGGCCGAGGACACAGCACAAGGAAAGGGGAGCTGTGTGAAATGGCACAGAGGAGAGCTCATTTGGATCAAGTGTGGGGGAGACACGCAGGAGATGAAGCTGCAGGGCTCTGAGTCAGACTCTGGCGAGATTGTCACACTGAGCAGTGTGGACATTATCCAGAACGTTGTGGCGACACCTGTCAGGAAATGTCCCTGTCAGATTAAAGACAGGGGGAAGTAAGCCACAACTGCACTGGGCTTAAACCCACAAAACCACACGGCAGCCAGACTTCCTGAAGCACCGAGCCCTATGCTGCCTCAGGATTTTGCTTCTGCTGTTCCCTCAGACTGGGACACTCTTCCTTGAGCTGGCTGGCTCCTTTTCACCCTTCGGGAGGAAGGCAAACAGTGCTTCCTCTGAGAGCTTCCATGGCCTCTCTTCCTATACACCCCCTCCTGCATCCCTGAGCTCCTGGCTTTTCTAGGAACCTGTTTGGTTCCTTCGCAGGACTATCACATCTGAAACCACCGTGTTTCTGTATTTACCTAGTCATTGCCTCCACCACTGGCTGGATGCCCACAAGAGCAGGGCCCTGCCTGTCTTGCTCATCACCCATGTCTGGCACACTAACCAGCACCTAGCAGGCTGTAAAATATTTGCTCAGTGAATTAGAGTTAATCAATGGATTTCCAGGGTTCTAGCTGCAACTATATCTCCTTTTCTCCCACTGAAGAAAGACTATTTGAGTATAAATGAGCAAGAGTCATATTCGTTATTACAAAATCTGTATGTCCAGGCCACACCACAGACCAATTAAACCGGAAAACCTGGGGGTGGGAACCAGGCATCAGTATTTGAAGGTCTCCAGGTGACCCCAGTGTGCACTGAAGGCTGAGGTCCAATGACTGTGAAGGCCATTGGAAGCAGACAACCTCCATTTGCTTCTCAGACAGACCACTTCTCAGATGTGACACCTGGGCTTCTTCCTGGCCCTCTCCCTAATCTCTTGAATCTGTTCTAATTTATTTTTGCAAAGTAAATAAATTTGTAAATGTCAGTATCCTATTAAAACAAATAGCACGGGACACACATTACAAATGACACACAAAGACATCACAACCCCCAAACTGAGGCAGCTGGTACTTTTTAAAACCCAAGTATATCATGATCCATTTCAGGGCATAAGAATGTATGTTATTATACCCAAAGCATTTCAGTTAGGATTTGATACTTACAAAATGGCAGTTTAATCTCAAAGAATTACTCCTATTTCTACATAATTAGTTTGTTGTTTCATGGCAAGGAGGGGGTTTGGATGTTCTATGGAAAGATAGCCCTTGCTGGTTTGGCTCAGTGTATAGAGCATCGGCCTGTGGACTGAAGGCTCCCGGGTTCAATTCCGGTCAAGGGCACATGTCTGGGTTGCAAGCTCAATCCCCAGTGCGGGACATGCAGGAGGCAATTGATCAATGATTCTCTCTCATCATTGATGTTTCTATTTCTCTCTCCCTCTCCTTTCCTCTCTGAAATAAATAAAAACATATTGGAGGAAAAAAAGATAAATCTGGTGTATAGCTGATCATATCCTGCATGCCTGGCATGTGCTGGGCACTAAAATGTAGACATATAAATAAGACCTGGACTGAGACCCAGTGCCATACTCAAATAGGGTGTTATAATAATCGCTGTCATTTATCAACACTATACTATGCATTTCATGTGTATAACTCATTAAATCCTCAAAGGCATCCCAGGAGGTAGGTACTATTATTGTTCCCCCTTTTACAGATGAAGAGAATAAAGTACAGAAAGGTTAAGTAACTTGCCTAGGATCACACAGCTATTAAATGACAGAGCCTGCATTCAGATCCAGACAGCCCACTCCAGAGCCATTGTGCTCAACCCTCAGGCTATACTGTGTCAAGGGAACAAAGGAGCAGGAAAGACCACTCTGGCTGTAGGAAGGGGACGCTTCCTGGGGAAGACAGCACTCGTGTTCGCCTTGAGAGATGGGTAGACTTTCAAGAGGCAGAGATGGGAAAAGAATTGCTTCCTGGCAAGTGGATGGCAGCTTTATTGAAGACTTGGAGTTTGGAAAACACTCTTGAGAAACGACATTTGGGAGACTATAGAGGACATGATAAGGAGAAGGAAGATAACGGTGGGGAAAATGAACTAGGCAAAGGCCAGATTGTGGGGCATCCACGTGCCAGTAAGGATTTGGCTGTAGTTAACAGCCTTTCGGGAGCCACTGAAGGTTTCTGAGCAGCAGAGGCACACGCAGCAAGTAGAGGAGGAACTGGAGGGTGAGATGAAGGCAGGAGACTGCATCAGAAATAGTGTCAGAAATCCAGGCAAGGGGACAAAAACAGGCTAGGACAGTGACCGTGAGATAAAAGAGGAAGTCCCAATGTGAGAGATAATCGTAGGAACTCACCAGGGCCTGGTACTGGAGTGAGCAGGAGTCAAAGGTGCATCTCATGTTTTGACACTGGAAGGATGGAGACACCATTAACTCAGGGAAGACAGGAACAGGCTTGGCCGAGGAAAAGGGGCAGATAAAATTCCTTTGGGAATGTAAGGAATCAGTCTCATTATTCTCAAGCAGGAAGATTTTTCTATTATCTGGAGCCCTGCTCAGGGATCCTTTACTCTACTTCCAAATTGTCCTGTGACCTTTTGCCTACTGAAATTGCAAGATGCATTTGTTCTGAGATTTTAGGAATTTTATCTTTACTTAGACTCTTCGGTCCTAGAAGGCTATGATGTGGTATAATTCTATCAAGAATACAGGAAAGCCAGAAGTTAGTTTCTTTGTTCAAGGAATTCAAAGCAAGGTGGTGGGGGCGGGGGGGAGGGGCGGGGGGGAAAGGCAAGAACTGCTGTCCAACTTGGGCAAAAGTTAAAACATCCTAGAATTGAATTTAAAGACATTAACAGTTCAGGACCTGCTGCTCTGATTCTGAAGAGGTGAACCAACACTTGGGGAGTGCCCAGGGCTGGACACTGAAGCAGGATACTCATAGATTCTGTACTCGGAAACAGTATGGTTTATCCCCTCTGAATCAGAATCTTCCTGTTCCTAAGATCCCCAGGTGATTCATAAGCAGTGGCACATATTTGAAGTATGGGCTTTGGAATCAGATGAATCTGAGTTTATATCTCAGCGTAGCCACTTTTCCTCCTGGACCTGCTTCATGTATAACATCATTCAGTGGCCCTATACCTTGGTTTCGCCTTAGAATAACCTGGGGAGCTTTCAAAAACTCCATGCCTGGGCCACAAGGCAGACAAATTAAATCCGGATCTCTAGGGGTGGGATCCAGATTATCAGTAATTAAATGTCTCCAGGTGATTGTAGCCCGCATCCAAGGCTGAAAGCCACCGATGACTCTGAAGGACACGAGTGTGGCCACTGGAACCAGACAATCTTCATTTGCATCCCATATAAGACTGGGGCTTACCCTCTCCCTAAGCTTTAGTGCCTTGATCTGTGAAATGGGCATGACATATAACAATCGTTTTCAAAGGGCTCGAAGCATTGAAGGTGACATATGTAAAGCACTTGGCACAAGGCACACAATGCAAGCCCCAGCTTCCTTTGCAGAAGAGACCTAGGAAGCAACACATAGCTTGAGGTATCATGTAAATGCCAACTTGGAGCTATCCTCAAACTTTCACATCAGAGGTGACTTCCAATTACTTGGCCACCAAGAGGTTAATGGATGTTGCCGTAGCTGTTTTATAAATGTAAGAACCTATTATTTTTCTTCATTAAATTGGAGAATGAGGCAAAGGCAGCTGGCAAGGAATGTTTTCAGAATAGGAGGGAGAAGGGTCACCTAAAATGATCCCAACTGTGGGGTCAAACAGGGTGAGGATGGAGGAAAGCAGACCATGCAGTGCTGTCTTCAGTGTCCGAACACTTGGGGCAACAGGTCCTGCACCTCATCCGCCCAAGGCCTCCCAGCAATCTCCCCACTTAGACTGTCTAGAAGGGGAGTTGGAAAGGTCTTCAGAAAGACTTATGCGATGACTTCACGTTTTTGAACTCTGCACATTGGAAACCCACGCCCTGGGAGTTGAAATGACACGCAGGGTCATATGCAATTTCAAGCCTCAACCAGGTGTAAAGTGACCCAGTCAGATGGAGAGGAAATAGCCTACTAGTGAAAAAGAAACTGAATGAAAGGGGAAAATAGACATAATAGGGCTTTGAACCAGAGCTTTATAAATACTTGTGGCTTTAACCTGCTCAGGAGGTAGATAAGCATGTTCCCTTTAGTTTGTCCTCAAATTCAACCTCTCACAAGAGGTTAAGGAACACACCCAAGGTTGGAATTGACACTCAGACCTCCCGACTTCCTGGCTTTGGAGCTGAGAGCTCAGCGTCCACCTCCCTGGTCTATCAGGAAAAACATCTGGGTTATAATGCTTGAGGATGGGATATCAAGGGGAAGTGGTGGAAGTTTGGTTCTTTAAGAAACCCTGAGCAAAACTGCCTAGGACTCAGCCAGGAGGCCCCTCCCGTGGCCTGAGTCACAGGCTCAAACATTTCTTTGCTTCTCCTATGCTGGACGCTCCCCTTGTATGACCTTTAAGAAAATCTATTTCAGAGGTCAGATGGGAAAGAGAGTCGACTCCAAAATGTGTAAACACCTTCTCCTCCCTTCCCCAAGCAGCTGTCTCAGGTAACAAAGCCTTTCCACCATCGTCATTTCTCTACCAACAAACTGCCACATTGGCAAATGCCTACTTAAAGCCAAGAGAGGAACAGGCAGGACCACAAGAAGAAAACACAAGGGGAAGTCATCTTTAAAGGCCAAAAGGTTATATAAAACATAATAAAATACAACTGTTTCCTTTAAATTTTTTAATGGCCAGGAAATGGTATAGAATAACTGCCAAGTCACATAAATTAACTTTTTGTTAATGTTTGTGATCCCGGAAAGAACTCTATCAGTCGATGCTAACTGCATGTGAGTTTTCATCCATTGTCTGGTGTCTGGCTGAGTGTGGGCCATGGACCCATCTTTACATGGTCCAGAAATAAAAGCGGCTGCCGTGTTTGGCAGGCTTCAGATCTCCTTCTACTGGAGGGTTGGGCTCTGGTCTCGGTCTTGAGTGATAGGGATTCTCCGGTAAAGGTCGATCTGTTTTCACTTTGGTGACCTGCGAGGGGTG